TATTTCTGATTATATTTTTCAAGTATTAACGTTAATATTTTATATTTTTCAGTTCAATTTGAAGCCGAGTTTTCTATTTGTAGATCTGCTCAATCGGGATCTCGTGATATTGTTAAACACGCACTTTATTTGTTCATTAATTTCATTTGTTGTAGTCTATTATTAGTGTTAGTAAGGATTTTTAATATTGTAAAATTTGGTAGCTTTGTAAACAATGATCACATTGTCTTTGTTTATTCTGTCAAAATCTCTTAATAAAACCATTTGTTTGTCCAATATCAGTACTTATATATTTGTCCTTTGTAATGTTAATTTTGGTTAGATTCTTGGTTTGCATTACATTGAGTTGTTTTGTTTATTAAATATATCCATATTTAAAATTTTTGACTCAAGTACAGTATTTAGCAGATAATGTTCATCTTTTCGAATTCCAGATTTATAGAACATACATTTTTTATTATCTGTCAGTCATTTATTATTAATGTCTAAATTATTTTATTCTAAAGTTGATGTAGATGGTTGAATTAAAATTTTTGATCTATTTTAAATTTGTCTTTTAACATCATTCGTTGTTCCGCATTAATGTTTCACAAATGGCATCTCAGCTAACGCTTTTATTTTCGTCTAGAATTAAAATAAATTATACGATGAACTTATTGATAGTGCTATTTAATTAACCCTGGCTGCGCAATATAGGATAGCTTTCTTCTGATTGGTCAATCCTTACAATTGTATTTATACAGTTTAAAGCACTTTTTAAGGATGTACATTTTACAAGTAAAAAATTAAACCCATATCTTTCTTCGAAGAAGCGCCAATAGTTATTATGCAAAATAATCCTAAATAATCTTATACATAGAGGATCCTTAACTAATAGAGGTACCTTAACTAGAAGGTGAAATCTCTATGTATATTGTAACTATAGAACTATATGTAATTACTAAATTGCTAAATATATCTGGGTTATTGAAAGAAAACTAACGGTACAGACTTTTTTTAGAATTAGATAAAACAATTTCTAAGCTATATTAAAGGTTTTTAAAACATTAATATAATACATAAGAATATAAAAACTTTATATACGCATATATATAGAAGTCTTATTATAACAAGCTCTGGGTATAGATCTTTAACTATTAGTTAAGTGCAAAAGTTGTGTTAGGCATTATATGTAGACCTTTTTCTTTTTTATTCTTTTGTTAAAGTGAGAAGCGATAGAGAATTAAGTTTACGAATATAATGTAATTTGATTGGTTGATTGTCACATGTTGCACGATAGCCAATCATAATGTATTATTCAATTTCATGTAATTATCCGATCACGAGAAAGTTATCCTATATTGCTGCGCACTAATTGAAGATTCTCGATTCCAATTTTACCATAGTGTAGGCCTATCTCCAAAATTTTCTAATTTTGGGATAAAAAATTAAAAAGCTTCTGACCGGAAATAACGTAATGCGAGCCAAATTGTTATCTATCATGTAGTGTGAGAGGCACGGTAAAATTTTTGGGCATGCCCCTTGAGGCATGCCTCAAACCAAGGCATGCCTCTAGTATATAAATCATATGACATTGGGATCACGAGACAATTATTACGCGTTAACATCATGCAAAAGGCACAGAAATGGTAATGTTGGTGATAGAGTATCGGTTTCAATTCGGTTTATGTTGTTTATACAATAGAAAAATCGTCGAAACCCTGGACACTCTAGTAGGTGATAAGTTTCTGAGATATTATATTATCCCCATTAATGATAATTATTATCCCTATTAATATTATGCAGAAGGCGTAAAAAGATTGAGATAAATTATTTGGGAATCATAAGATTGGAAAGTTGGCATAAGTCTCGCATTTATAAGAAAATTACTTGCATCTTGCAAGATACAATATTTGACTTTAGGATTGTTCTTATACAATAAATTACATTAGATTTACATTAGCCAATCAATACGTTGTTATTTTTTTCGTTATCACATGATATAGACATGCCCTTTGGCCCAAAGGCATGCCTATGAGGCATGCCCAGGGGCATGCCTAATGGGCATGCCTGGGAACCCGTGCTTCCCACACTACTATCATGGCTGTTAGCAACAGAAGCGCATATTGAACATTTTTATCAGCCTGCGGACTTCACAATATCAGCTTTAATGATATCAGCTGATCTAACTTAAGGTGTCCCTAGCCCTAAAGTTAATCTGATAAAATAAAATATTAATTTATTTAAGTTATCTCGGCTTTAGACGTTCCCTATATTTGAATTATAAAAATCTGCCCATATTGATATGAATAATTATTCAATCAGAATGAAAGCTTTAGTCACGACAAAAAATGTTGCGAACTATGTGATTTCCGACTGCCAGATTAGCGATCACAAGTTTTTTAACATTTTTCTTCCACAGCTACAATTCCAAGAATCCTTCGTGGGGATTAGATCTAAAATATCAATTTATTTATTTGATCTTGGTTAATTCATTAACACTATCCCAGACTCCATGACTGAAACAACAATAATCAAAGGCTAGAGTTTCGATGCTCTTGTTGATTTCAAGGATAGATATTAGATTGTTGTTTAGCAGGGGGAACTCTAGAGAAAATATAATGTTAATTGTGAGAGTTTTAAGAGTTCTCGTAAAATACAGTATTTTCTAATTTTTCGAGTTTTTCGCAGAAACGAAAGACAATTTCATTAAGAGGTTTATTAGCATTTGGTTATGTAGAAATTATTGAATAATAAGTTTTTGTGTACCGTTAATTAGGTTGAAAGTATTGAAATATCTTCGCTCAGACAATAATAAACGCTGATTGTCGTGGCTTATAGAGCAACCCGCTATAACTATAAATATAACTATTTTAGTAATTCATGTATTACATTGCTATCATATTCTAAATTGGAGCGAGTTAAAAATATTCCAATTTATTGCTTACAATTTAACGATTCACAATTAGTTGGCCACTCTAATCACTATCAAACCAGTATATAGATTCGGTGACAAAATATCTACAGGTACAGAAATTTTAAAGCGCAATTTAAGAAATGAAATTTATTTCATTATAAGTCTAAGTTAAGGAAAGGAATCGCTTATTATTATTATAGAAAATAATAATAAACACATTAAGTCTCAAAAATATTTATAAACCAATCTTATACAATTTCTTTGTATTTTCATAGTTGCTTATAACACTTAAAATTGTTTCATTTTCTTTGTATCCTTTAAGTTCATTATGTAGACTTTTATATTCTGTAAACAAGTTATAATTCAATGCTTCAGCATTAGCTAATAAAAAAATAATTATTAGATTTAAAAATAACTTAGACCACATAAATCACTTTAATGTATTAAATACATTACCCCACTTGAAGTTATATTTTGATTTTGAGAATTGATTTTTTTGAACCTTAGTACCAGAATTAATCGCAGTGTTAACGACTTTTGGTTTTGAAGATTGATTTTTTTGAATCTCAGGACCGTTATTAATTGCAAGGCTAATGACTTTACAATTTTCAATTTCATTTTTCAAGTGTTTAATTTCTTTGACCAAAGCTATAAATATGTGAATATAATTTATTAGACGCATTGATTCAAGGAATTTGTTATTTTAGATTGGTGGCAGTTGATAATATTCTTACTTTGGTTTTGAACCAAGTCATTAGCACTTTCGAATAACATTATAACCAGAAGTTTCAGTATAATAAATTCCTGGGCAGATGAGTTAAAACCTTAACATTAAAATTATAAGTTTTTATAGCATGCAAACAATATTCTAATTATGAGCGAAAAAATAAGAGGTAAATAACGGTCAATTTATCAGATTTCAGTTTGATGAATTCTATATAAACGAGATAAATGTGTATCGGCACATTATTAAATCTAAAAATAAATATTATATAAAAAGATAAAGTAATAAACAATATAATTTAATACTCTTAACGTTAAATCTTTAAAAAACAAGTTTATAAAATATGTAAGATCTGCAATATGCTATATATACAATAACATATATATTATATAGCTTACTCAATGATTCTTACAGTATTGAGTATATATGCTATTAATATATATTGAATAAAATTACCAACAGCTTTTAACGTTTGTTTGATAATATTTGAAAACATACAATTCAATATCCACCATGTCTAATTTCAAAAGTCAACATTTCAAGTTCAGAGATTCAGAAAGAGAAGTTGTTTCTGTTTTGATCGAAAATTATGACTATCAAAAAAGAGAAAGTGAAATTCTTGACGATATTATTATGGGATTTAAAGAATGGATCTTCCGTTAACAAACAGAAACTGTTGGATATTATCCAAGGCTTTTCGAAAAATTAAAAGAAATCGAAGATAAAGATAACGAAACTAAACTTCGCGGGATAAAGGAGTTTCAGCTATTAGTTCAAGAAAGAGAACTTAAAAGAAAAAGTCTTGCCGACAATTATGGACAAAGTTATATTAATTCATTGCAAAAACTTAAATCTGAGAATTTTCATTAGCCTAAATCATAGTTTAAACATGCATCTCATTCTATTTGTAAATTTGATAAAATTTATCACAAATAAACTCAATAAAGGATAGATATTTGACCTTTTGTTACTGCAGTTAAACCAATATTATGTTAATGTTAGTTTTGAATAAAAGCTTCTTCATATGATCTACATGGTATATTAAAATTTTACATAGGCAGCAAAAATTCGTCTGACGAAACTATTTTAGCCATTGACGAAATG